CAAGTAGTACTCTGAATATCGTTTGTTCCGAGTACCCTGTATTTTCTGATGCAACGGGAAAAAAAATTCTAAAAAATCATTCTGGATGATTTTTCAAAATTTCAAATCGGTTAAAAAATAAGTGAGCTAGAGGGGGGGACATTTATGGTGAATCACCCTGTACCTTGACGGAATGGTCAAGATCTTGATATCAATAAATTTTTGTTTGACATCAGCACGGTATCCCAAGTTACTAAGTACAGCACTGCTCTTCTTCGAATGCCAAATACTCTGGACGCAGCCTAACGTGAGCCGACCTTATGGGCGTACACCTCAGTAGAACTTTCAACTCAAACCATGTTTATAATGATCCCTTTATACATAAATAATGATTGACGACATAATTCGATCGAAAAAATAACTGGAATGCTTTATTTTTGGACATTAATAAAAGTACCTTCTGAAAACAGACCCTCTTATGACGTAGAAACCTCATCTCGCCATAGTTAAAAGAAAATACCAAACGCAAGACGGAGACTGAGGCAACTGATATATTAATTCTTTCAACTGTGATCTCGCGCTAATTCACTCTGTCAGAAATCATTTATCATCCATCTATGCCTGGAATAGTCTTGTTTCAGTATTAGTGTTTTGACGTCACATCATCGCCTCGTTTTCAGAGGTCCGAAAAATCGGCGATTTCAATAATTTTTTATAAAACGTAGGGAGAGTAGGTGAGCTAGTTTAGGTGAGTTCTATCGAATGTATGAAAATTTTTTGTGATATAAGCACATTGACGTAAGGACGTGGTAGTAGTGATAAAAAGTATCTGTTTTTTCGTTGTTCAGTTTCAGTTTGTTGGCGATAAACCAAAGTTTGCCATTTTCCTCTACTTCGTCAGAAAGAGAATTTAGAAAGTCATATTCTTCTTGAGAATGAATCAATGTTGTGTCATCTGTGAATAGGATACTATTGTAATAGGATACTATTGTATGGAGTCATATATGGACATAGGTCATTGATGTAGATTATGAACAGTAAAGGGCCCAAAACAGAACCATGTGGAACACCAAATCTCACATCTCTTGATTCAGATAGTTTGTTGTTAAAATATACAGCTTGAAAACGGTTTGTTAAATATGATTCAATGAGGGTAAGAGTTACACCTCTGATTCCATAGTAGCTGTGTTTGTCAATGAGGATGTCATGAGAGACACAGTCGAAGGCCTGCGATAAATTGCAGAGTGATTCTCAAATGATAACTTTGTTCCAGACCTTCTACTATTCTCTCGAAAACACTCATAGCTGCCTTGGCCGTTGAACGATTTTTCCGAAAGCCAAATTGTGAGTTGTTCAACAAGTTGTTGTTTTCAAAATACTTAGTGAGTCGATGTTTAAAAATGCTCTCTATCGTTCATGTTAGAAGTCTGGATATGGCTGTTTGTTTTTTGAATGAGTAGTAGTCTTTGGAGTCTTTGAGCCTAAAATAATTATTTGTATACCTCTCTAACCATTTTTTTATTCATTGTATGAAGCTAACCATCATACAATACAATACGATAGGTGTTCAATAATCTAATATACAGGGTGTTCCTCAAAGACATGCTAATATTCAAGGGGGTGATTCTTCAACGCATTTCAATAAAAAAAACGTCCCACTAACGTATGTCCTGAAATTTCCAGTATTTCACCGGTTCCTCAAGAGGTATCAATTCGCGGTTTTTACCATTTTCCTTCTCGTTTGCTCTACTTTCAAATTAGAGTAGAATGAATATATGGTTCCATTTGAAATTTTCGAAAAAAATAGAAAATTGTCTGATTTTTCAAACGATGCCATCTAGCGGCCACCACAGGATTTAAATCGACTTGATTGGTGATTCATCTGGAAGAACCAAAAAAACGCTTCATAATGATACCAAGATCGTTGAATTCCATTACACCAAACTGTAGTAATGAGAGTTTTTTCAAAGTACTATTCATCCTTCCCTCCCTCTTTTATTTAAAGAGCTAGCGCAATTTTTTTTGATTGAAATGATAGGAAATCAACTGGAGATAATGAAAAAAGTGTTTTTGATATGTCTTGATATATCAAATTTACATATAAACCCGTTTATTAAACTGGACAATGCAATTACGCCCTCTAGGGGCTGTCCTGGAAACTTGAAAATAATTTCCAGAGATTTTTCTTGGCCACTTTTATCATAAATATTTTTTTCCGAAACCTGTGCGGCAAATCGTTTCCGAGATACAGTCGGCGTCCTTTCTTAGTGGTACACCCGGTATATGCAGATAAATTAGAAATAGTCTTAGACATTAGGTTATTTAATTATGTTCATGCATTATTGATGTATTTTTTCAGTAATGGGGGTATCCTGTAAAATGAAATAAATGGAAATAAATATTTCCTGGCATATTTCACTATCCCAGTATCATGCTATTTCAGTAATTGGTAAATTGAATAAGTTGCATTAAGATGTACCTTGCAGTTTCAATATTCCATTTCAACACTTCAAAATCATTACCCAGGGTTGCCAGGAATTAATTTATACTGATTAGGTCATTATGAATCAATTTGTGAATTAATTCAAATGATATTGAAAAGGAATATTTCCAGATATATTATAACATAAAAAAATGGATACAAAATATATAAAGAAATACATTAGGAATTCACATTATCTGATAAAAATATCAATACTTTGTATGGTATACTTAGTGGACAAGCTATAACTTCTAGAATACTCAGTGTATTAAAATGATATTTAATATGAGTATATGGTATGTAAAGAGGAAAGTTATGGCATATTTTCCACTTCCTAGTTACTTCCGGTTTCACTGGAGGTGAAAAATATCTGGTTTTGAATTCTGGATTAGAATATGACATTTTCAGAAGTTTTTATGCCTAATTCATTTTTTCAGAGTCACCTTTAATATTGCATGCCATATTAAATTTCATTTTGATAAACCTGATATTCTAGAAGTTATGGCTTGTCTATTAGATATGTAAAATTACTTCTTTCAAAACCACCAATTTACTGTAACATTCTCCAATAGGAACAACAGGCAATATTTACCTTCAATTTGAACTAATTTGAACTGAAAGATCCAATGGCATTATATCAACCTGACCATTAAAACATCTGATGAACCTAGAGAGCCAACAGGCAGAAAACTAAGTAAAGTAAAGTAAAATTTATTGATTTTCAAAGACCACTGTCAGTGATATAAAACACATCATAGCTTACATAATATAGTTAATTCACATGTAAAATTGACAAATATAAAAATAGTGTATATTATGTAGAAGAAAATATATAATATCTTAGAGTGAAGGTATCTATCTAGGTAGCATAAAATTCTTTGATACTATCAAACGTTTTTGACAACAGAAAGGTTTCGAGATGTTTTCTGAATTTGAAGTAACTTCCTTCCTAATTGTCTCTGGTAGCTTATTGTAAATTCTTACACCATTGGAGATGGGTCCCCTGAGAGTTACATTCAAATCATTTCTAGGTGTCTTCAAATGGTGGTTAAATCGCATTGAATAACTGTGATCATGACTATGAGTGTGAATACTTTTTTTATTTTTAAATATGTAACAGGATATTTCTAGAATATACAGACGAGAGGAAGTATTTTCAGTTTGGCAAATAATGTTCTACATGATTCTCTCTGACTTTTATTTAATAATGATCTAAGGCATTTTTTCTGCAGTACAAATAATTTCTGGGCTGCTGACGCTGAACCCCATAACAAGATCCCATATGTGAGTCCTGACTAAATTTCCACATAATAAAAATGTTTCAGCAGGGGCAAGTTAAGAACTTTTTGTAGACATTTGAGTTGGTATATTTTGCTATTCAATTTGGTCATTGTTTTTCTGATATGGATTTCCCAATCTAATGTATCTTTCATAATAATGCCTAAAAACTTTGTTTTCACATGTTCACTTCTCCCATTTTGATTCCTATGTTTTCAATACTCCTTTTTCTACAGTGAAATATTAAGAAATTTGTTTTATCAGAATTGACATCTAATTTGATTGTGGAGAACCAAAGTATAATAGTAAGTAATACGTTGCAGATGTATTCATTATTTTTTATCAATCAATGGTTTCAATTCATTTTGTGAAAATTGCATGTTTTAAATAGTTATGCATGAAGATTTGTGAGAAAAATGAAAACTTCATTATTTTTCATTTTTCTTTTGTTTAGGTAAATAAAATTGTTTTTGTTCTCAAGTGGATTAATTCAAAAAGGTTCAGCACAAGTTAGTTAAAAGAATGAAATACTTTGAGCTTTGGAGTGATATGCCCTTTGGCATTTTCACAGATGAAACTTTGAAATGATAAAAAATAATATTAGCTGCTAGCATTTCTTCAGAATATCATATTGTTTCTCAACAATTAGGGGATTTGTTATAGGGGTGTTGTAGCACTTCTATAAAGAATAAATTAAACCACTTAGGCTGTCTGTTGAATGAGCAAAATTCCAAATATTTTTATATCCAAACACATAGTATCATTCCACATTACAACTTGTTTAGTTGATTCTTACCTCATTTCTCTCTCATTTTCTGTTGACAAACTCTGAATAAATGATAAAAGTTCCCTTAGTCATCAGCACAAGCAAGTGAAGTAGAAACAATCTACACCAAACAATGACACCAGAAAGGGGCCCCAAGATGACAGAATTTCGATCTTTATTAAAGAATGACATAATACTCATATTTTATTTTATAGAAATGAGGAGATAATATCCACCACCAGCACCTCAATTAACCTATTAAAGAATGTCTTGAAAATTTAATTGTTTTCCAAATCTTGATTCCAAATTTGTGTGACCCCAAAATTTCCAAATCATACTATAATAGGTACCCATTAAACAGCAGAAAATGTTGTAGATAAAAATTCACTTTTGGCCTGACTTTATGTGAACAATTTATTCCATACTATATTATGTGACAAATATTGACTAAATTATAATTAAGTGAAGTATTTCAAAATAAAAAAACATACAAACCTGAGAAATATCCTCCATAAAGTCTATCCAAACAATTCTCAGCATCAACAATGAGTTTCAGCTTATTTCCTAGAGGTCTAATTTTCCGGTTGGCATTATGTGGTTGTTGTCTTTGTGTAACATTTCTAGCAATTTTCAACAGATCAACAGAAACTGCTCCACCATCAAGACTAGGGCTCTCCAGAAAAATTTGGAGATCATCGACGCCCATTTTGATTGATTTGTACTGGATTCTTCAGCTTTCAGATCTTTCTCAACCAATAAATTACATCTAAAAATAGTAAACGAGAAGCCAGTTGTAAATACTTTTCATTCTCCAAGTCCGCCCAAGACAATAATTATCAAATGGTCGCCATTTTAGCGATCAATTTTGCCGTGAACTTGCTCATAAAAAATTACAGAAAACGATTTCTTCGTTTTAAAAAGCCACAAATGACTTGTCGATAAATGTACACATAACGTCGACTAAATATTTCGCATGGAATAAGAACGCCTTTCACTTTTGATAGTGTTGAAGAGAATCTGGAATCTGCCGGCAGGATAGCGGACTATGAGGATTTCCGTCTCATTATTTATAGAATCATCGAAATTTGTAAATCATATCTGATAATCGATTATGTGCTTGTTACCACAGAATTTATGCAGCTCGAACTCACTGAAATTATATAAAAACATGATTGATAAACAAATCAACACAAGGAGCATCCATCGAAAACCGAATACATTACCGGAAACGACGAAAATATTTTTCCTATGCGCAAACGCGCCATTTTCTCATTTGTGTTTCATGAATCAGTGTTGCCAACAATATTTACCAAAAAGTACCACAGAACGAAAGTTTCCAACCTTTCAACTTCCCTTGGCGTTTTTGATACGAACGTATCGAGCCAGGACTGCATAAAGTTGTTGGCTTCGTTCTGACATTAACGGGAGCATGAACCTGAGAAAAACCATAGAAATTATATATACGTATATATAATTTCTATGAGAAAAACACTAAAACATCCTGGTGCAATAAGGATTCACTAACTTGATGACCTTCAAATCCTGCAATATTCTCAGGCCTTTTAATTCATTCCGTGTAATCGCGGTAGCCAAATGAGGTCATCACCTGACGATGTGATGACATGAAAACTACAGGACAACATTCCTGACTCCTGACATTATTTGGATTGGAAGTTGGACATCATGTTCTTCCGTAGTTTTCATGTCATCTCAACGTCAGATGATGACCTTGGCTACCGCGAATACCTTTTTTGGCATGTAGTACTGTCAAAGTATTGGGTTTTTATCTCCTCCACCACATACTCCAGTCCAAATATTCCCTACGTCACTAATCATATTGGAATTACTTCCTCCCAAATTATTTTCATTTTGTTGTCAGTTTTGTCTGAAAAATTCATTACCTGCAAAAAAATATCTATCACCTATCACCGCCCCTGTGCGACATGTTCATTGCATTTAACTGAACCTACATACCTCTGAATTCAATTCGATTATCAAATTGTAGATGATGGACAAAACAGTAATTTCCTCCACGGTTGTTTCCGAGTTTCTTCTATATTCGAGAAAATTGAACTGAAAGTTCAAAAAATTGAGTACAATCTCGAGGCGACCTACCAAACAATATTGGTTGGCAACTGCTTGTGTCGACTATTCTTTCTCGAAAAGGAATAATCTCAGAAACGTGATTGGGTTTTCCCAACCCAGAATTCTTTTCCACGACCTGTATGATAAAGACCAATGATTCATCATACACTATATAAATACATTATTTCTTCATACTTTAACTTTCAAGTACCTCCGTGGTGCACTTGTTGGTTGTTCTAGTTCTACGCTGGTGATCCGGGCTCAATTCGTTGACGGTCGACTTTTTTTATCCTGTGATTTTCGGAAAAATATACTTTTTAGGAAGATGGTTCATTCAGGCCAAGTAACGAGAAAAGTGGTCTCCAGTCTTAGGCAGATGAAATATTTTCTTTCTTCTCTGAAAATAGTACTGTGTGATTCACAATTTCAATGAGCCCGCCGCTTGGCCATTGGGCGTGTTCGGAGAACAGACGGGTTCGTGCTCGAGACTCTTGTTGAAATTCGTGTGAGCATTATGTGCCAGTACCAATAGGCCGTGTTAAGGGCCAGCACATGTTTGCCGATACATTCAGATAAAAAAAAGGCGACCGCCACGGGATTCGAACCCCGTGGTCCTTCGTTATCATTGCCCTAGTATCACTTCGTTACAAATCAAACTTATTCCAACTGAGCAACTGCAGTTTTCTTGGAATGATGTGTGTACGGAATGAATTTATTCGTGATGTCTATCTATAGGTATAAGTACTACAGGGTACGTGTCCCTAAAAGGTCTGTACAAAATCTTAGCACATAGTCCTAAGGTCGAAATGAGCCGATTCAAAACAACTTATCCCAGTCCGAAATAGCTCCGTTTTTGAGATACAGGGTGCTCAAGTTGTAAAATGGAAATTGACATGATGTACACTCTTCAAGAAAGTATTTTGAGCAATCCATTTTTGCACTGCTAATTCACTGACCAAATTGAATCTACGAAGGTGAATAGCAAGCATTTTTTATTCGAAGTAATTTAAATTTTCCGGTGCAGCATCGAATACTAGAAATCGAAATATCTCGAAATTGGCTTACTTTAGCAGATTTTTGGAAAAGTATCTGTTTTGTCTAAAAATGTTTGAAAATCATTCCGCTAACGGAAAGATCGAGAAACTACTCTGAGAAAAAAGTCATGGCCTATCTAAACCATGAGAAGTGCATTGGTAAGCAACCTCTAATGACCACAGTAAAAAGGTGTTTGAAATCGGGTTTCTGATCCCAAAAAACCCCCGGACACCAATTCTTGAAGTGATACGTTCAAAAATGTTCATAAATTCCGAAAACTCCGATTTTTAATTTTCCAAAATTACCATCCTATATCTCGGAATCGAAACAATTTCGGACTGAAGTGAACTTCTGCAAAACGGCCTATTTCGATCTCAGGAATATGTGCATAGATGGGTGTGTTTAATCTATGCTTCATTGAATATCATATTATTATCATATATAGGGTGTAAAAAAACGCGGCAATATTTGAGGAGGTGATTCCTCAGATCTTTTTATGAAAAAAGTTCCCATGAATGTAGGTTTGGAATTGCATTGTTTTCAAGATAAAGAGGATGTTGAAATAAAATTAATTCATAAAAATTCACGCCACAGTTTTTGATTCCCTGAGATAAAGCGACTGACACTATAACATTTTCGTATTTTGGATTTTTCTCATATCTTGCTTCGTCTACTACAAAAAATTCACAAAACCTGTAGAGAGTGAACACTTGCAACAATGACTTTCCAGATGTTATTCGAATGCCAATCATTTTGCAACTATCTGTCTATGTCTATCTACCTATCAAATTTGTTAAAGTTCCCTAACATGAATCGCTATACGAACTTTAACACCCTGTATCTTACCTTGATGGGAACTTTCTTTTATAAATCGATCTGAGGAATCACCTCCTCAAAAATTGCCGGGTCTATTTTTGAATACCGTATATCGCTTTCCATGGTCGTTGTTCTGACTTGATTCGAACCTGGACTCATTGAACTCAATAAGAACTCAATGTAGGTGTTTACATTGGTATGAAGGACGTAGTTCCAGCTCACTAGTTTTTTTCGGTTGCCGGAAATTTGATCGAAAATCATTTGATCGAAATCATTTGATCGAAATCATTTGATCGAAAAACATTTGATCGAAAATCAATCGACCGAAAAAACAAATGATCGAAAAATCATTCGATCGAAAATCATTCGATCGAAAAATCAATGAATCGAACTACATTTTGATCGAAAGTGTTTAATTGGAGTCACAGTTATACTGTCAAAAAGTTACAGCTAATATAAAAAATGTATTTCCTTAAGAGTCAATTAGGAAAAGAAAGTGTTTAATTGGAAACAATAAGTATTGAAATAATGAATAATCACATGCACTATAACATAATTATATGACATACAAACTTCACGAAATTCAATAATTCGTCATCATCGCAATCTAATTGAAAATGTTCTGAAATCCTTTTCAAGCGACATTTGAGGTCCTTGTATTTCTTTTTCTTTGCTGCAAGATCCCCAGTAGCCAGTTTCACAATTTTCAGTTCAGTAAAGGATTGTTCTTTCTTCAGCCCTTCAACGAAATTCCAGAATGATGGTTTCCTAGCATTCATCTGTTTGAGGAACCCTGAATGCCATCCCTCGATAGAATTATTTGTCAGAGGGATATTCTTCGATTTTGTACTATCGAAACAGTTCCACATTGTTGGTGCAAAAAGTGGCTTCTTGGATTTGTTGAGCTGAGTAGTTTTACCAATCCACGTTTCTTTGAAGTAATCAACGAATTCTTCAATTTCGTCTGGAAGTATATTTCGTGAGCAGAAGAGATGGAATGCTCTTGTTACCATATTTTCTGGTACAAATGCCAAAGCATTGAGTAACTTCATGACCGATGAAAATTTTGCATCCGTATCATATTTGCTTTTCAGTCCAAGTGACTGGAGTTTTTTATTTAAGCATTGGCTGAAATGGAAGTAACATCCCTTATGACTAACCGTCGGAAAAACTAGACTTATGGCATTTTCGATAGATTTTTCGAAGTCTGTCATGATTGATAATACCTTTGGATTGATAATAACCAAATCTTTTATCACATGTAACATTTTTATATATATTTTCTGCGATTTACTTGGTAAGAGAGCATAAACGCATGGTATATAAGTGCCATCTAATTCAGCGTGTATTGAATATAACTGGTAAAATAAAGGTGGAACAGTCTGAAAAGTACCATCCATTAACCATATTTGTGATTCTGCTAATATCTGTAAATTTTTTGGAGTGGCAAATATCAAAATTCGGTCTTCATCGTTTCCAGAATCGTGAGCTAAGAACTGTATCCCCTTATCAGTGAGCTTATATTCTGCAGGAATTATCAATTCGGATAAGGAATTGGGTGATGGTGGCGAAATGCCTTCTTTCTTCCTGATATTCCTCATTGTTCTTTTCATGGTTTCAATGGAAGGCAAGAGGGCGCATGATTTTTCACTCAACTGGCTGGAAGCATGCGAGATGATTGTTTTTGGTGCTTCCTTCGATGTAGAGGCCATCTCTCTTATTTCTTGCAGAGCTTTCCTTGTCTCCAATCTATCGGATCTTCCAGTATGG